GGGTAGCGTGCATCGTCTCTCTTTGGATCTCAATATTTTCCCACTAGATGGCCAAGACCTAGTGTTTTGCATTAGTTCGACGCGCAAATGTATGACATCACCATTTCAACCATCAACGAATGCATGGAACTAAAACAAAGCTTAATGTAAAGGAAAAACTAGAGAGGAGACGGAATTACCCACGATGACGGAATATACCGCGTTTACCCTATCTTATAAAATTTGTCATATCAGTATTTACTTTGAAAATTAACATCCTGAAAAATATTCTTGCAAGCAAATTTCATCTATAGTACCTATAGGATTGCTAGAGCCTTGACCAGATTCTTGTGTTTGAAAATTACCAATCAAGTTTTCACATATACTTATAAGTCAGGTTCAAACAATTTTTCTTCAGGGTGACTTGTTGCAAGTTTTTTTTGTTTTTTTTTTTCCAAGTTTTTATCCAAAATCATTTTAAATTTTTTAAATAATTCCTTACTTTTTGAACAAGATATATTAAATATTATTTGAAAGTCATGCTAGATCTCTTATAACTTTTTTAAGTGTTGAATAGAAGTTTGAAAATTAGTTTCTATATAATTCTGTGGCTTTTAATAAATTATTTTGGCCAAAATTATAGCTTCATGTAGGATTCCATCTTGAACGAAGTAAATTGGAAAGTATTACACTACACAGAATATTTATGCCTTTTTCTTGCTAGATATTTTTCCAGTAAATTTGAAAATGAGATTCACATCTTTATCAAATATTTGTGGAGTGTGTTTACTACTGTATTTCTAATATGTGAAGTATTCAAATTTCTTATTGCAGTTGTTGAGACCACAAAGGTTCGAGGAGAGGATCATTCAAGATCATCTAGTGCCATCTCGGAACGCAAAAGTCGAGACAAAGAGAAGAAAAATTCTGCAGTATCCAAACGCAAAAACTCCAGTAGTGAAGATGACAGTAGCCGCAGGTGATAAGAATTTCCTTATTTTATTTCCCCCATTTGATCTAGAGGCCTGGCAGAAGCAAATTATAATTGCATAACTTTGATTTGTTTATGTATTTTGGTCATGCTCTGATGAATAATGCTTGGTGTAAACATTTTTATGAATTTCTTACTTACTTTATAAATATTTGAGCCTAATATTGCATCTTGTAAATGGTTTCTTGTAGTCTTTTGCTAAAATTTGTTTTTCTTAACAGTTCTTCCCGAAGCTCATCTGCTTCTTCCACATCATCAAGTTCCTCGTCTTCGTCAAGCAGTGGGTCATCTCGTTCATCCTCCTCTTCATCATCCTCATCTGGATCTTCAGTTAAATCTAAGTCAAAGGACAAACAGGATAAGAAGAAGTGAGACGCAGTCAGATCAAAGGAAATTTTTGTTTTGTCCCTTTCCATAGCATTTGTGTATTGATTATGACATTAGTTGTACACTTGTACTGCATTTTGATCCTAATTGATGATTTTATGATATTGACCAGTTGACCACCAGGAAAACATACTGTGAGAGAGCTGCATAAGAATTCTACCTATGTATGAATGGCAGAATTTTTTTTATTGTATTCTAAACTATGATTTTGGAGCCTGATCTTACTGCAAAAGAGTAAGTGTAGTTTTTTATCTCATTCTCTCATTTCTTCATCATCAGGGAAAATAAGAGCACAACAGTTTCAGCAAAAATTGATGCTAAAAAGGCCAGTAACAACAAGAGCAGCCCTACCAAGAAAGAAAGTGTCACTGCTACTAAGACTAAAGTGGTTGCAAGTCACTCCAAAAGCAGGTTCGTAGTTAAAAAGTTGCTGCTTGTGCTAGGAAACTTCTCTTTTTATGTGGTCTCCTAACCCTGTATTTCATTGTCAGAATTGCCCAAGTTTGCAGTCTAAGGAGCATTATTATTCAGCAACCAACCTGATTGCTGAATAACGAATTGATTGTCATTTAAAAAGATTTAATTTATTCTATTTGTTTCTTTGCTTTCACGTTTTTGTTGAACATGAGATTTAGGAAAATAAATGATAGAGGGATAATGTTACATGCAGGTCTCAGTCGCCACGCAACCGTCGTCGACAGCGCAGCCCAACCCCTCGCCCCACCCGCATACACGTGGGCAGGCTGACCAGGAACGTCAACAAGGAGCACCTCTTGGAGATATTTTCTGTTTACGGCACCGTGAAGAGTGTTGATCTACCGATGTATGATGTGTGAGTTATGAGCAGGGTTTGCCTTGTAAATAGTTCTATTTATCGGTCGAAAATATGTTTTGGGGGCTTTTCTTGCCTTCATTAGTTGATTGACTCTTGCTCATAAGCCTACATTTTTCCAATTGATCATTATTACGATAAAATTACTTGTAAAAACTTTAATGTTAGTTTTTAATAATGGAGTAGGAGGTAATATTCACAAATCTTTTCTTGAACTATCTCAATAGTGGAAGCTTATGCACAGAGATTTGCAAATGAATGGTTGTTAAGTGACCGATAGCACGTCTTGCCCCAGGCGCCTGAACCCGACACTGAATAAGGGCTATGGCTACATCGACTTCGAGACTCCCGACGCGGCAGAGGACGCTATGAAGCACATGGACGGCGGCCAAATCGATGGCCAGGAGATCTCCGCTGCGCCAGTCCTCGTCCCGCGGGTCGCGGCGCCGCGCAGGCCGCGCTCCCCTCTGCCTCTGTACGGCATGCCCCCTCGTCGCCCTGCTCCCGCCCGCGCCTGGCGCTCCCCTCCGAGGTCAGGAGTCTTTAGAGCTATTTTAGAGTGTCCTCCGTGCTGGTTTTTTGTGACCTGCAAATTGTTTTGGAGAGGATGTCCAAAGAGGATACTCTCGAGCTTTAGCTTGCTCATGTCTATTTTTATAGAACAAGTTCGTCTCCTGAATGAAGATAATGCCAATTATTATTATGCACCTAGGGGAGGAAGGGCTTATTCCGCTTCAGGAGGAGTGACTTGGCCAATATGTCAATATATCCAAATAAATTATTTTTTCTATTTTCTCTTATTTTTAAAATGGGTGTTGTGATGACAGGATGCCGCCTCGGGCTGGCAGACGCTGGTCGCCTCCTCGTGGTGGGCGCCGCATGTCACCGCCACGCCGCTCGCCGCCTGTCCGCCGTCGATCTCGCTCACCTCTTCCCTCCCGACGCTCGAGATCACCCATGCCTAGGCGATCAAGATCTCCGATGCCGAGGCGATCACGATCACCTATTGCTTCGCGTCGATCTCGATCTCCTATCGCCAGGCGATCTCGATCTCCCGTGGCTGGCAGGAAAGGAAGCCGATCTCCTCCCCCGCCACGCAAGGGCAGCAGATCACCGCCCCTCAGGAGGTCTCGGTCTCCCCCGCCTCGTCGCTCGCGGTCTCCGAGGTCTCCTCCTCGCCGACGCCGGTCAGACTAATTTACTAATTTTGATCATTGGGGCGACCCGTGTTAATTTCATTGCACTTTTTTTGCGTGCTAATTAATGAACTACATAAAATTACCTAATTAGTATCAGGTTTACTAATTCATTTAGTTCAGTATGTCTTATGAATCGAAACTATTCAAATATAGTTGTTCCATAGGCTCACATAGCAGGTATTTGTAGTGCTTCGCCTATAAGTTCATTCCGACTCAGGAAAATTTTTGTTTGTTTTCAATTCTAGTCACCCGCCCAACTATCGTGAAGAAAAGTAGGAAGGATAAAAAAATAAAGCGGCGAATAGAAAGCAAAAAACTCAATTGCATCATTTCGAATTTTTGTATATATACGTACGGAAGTGGTGAATTAGCATAGTATCTGCAGGGATTGGACAAAATAAGGGAAACCTTTGATATTTTGATATGATAATTTGGACATGTTATAAACAATGAAACGTGACATATTTTTGTGTTTTATCGTTTATTGTTGCTGCTAATTGATATTTTATCCTTGCACAAATATTTTTAGTAAATTTTTGTATCTATAACCTAACCAATAGCATATAAATGGCAAACCTTTCAAAGAGGCCAAAATGTTGGTGCCCGTATGTCAGGTGCTAGCGTGACAGAAACTTCCCGAATGCTTGACGTGTCTAGAGATACTGTCTAAAAAGTAATGACCGCTTTTGTAAAAGCAGGGAAAACGTCCTCAGTAAAGCATAGGTCTGGCCGAAAGTCGATGTTGGCTGAGAGAGACCGTCGGTACCTAAATTGAATTGTGAGAGACAATCGAGATACCACGCTGTTAAAATTACTGCAGACCTCATTGGGCATCTTTAAAACCAATTTGAATAAAAACAATCTGACAAAAGCTGCACAGACCAGGATTCTATGGAAGAGCTGCAATTGGAAAACCTTTAGAGCATTTAGAGTGGTGTAAAAACTTCCAGAATTGGTTCCTCGAGCAGTGGAAAATGTGTTTTTCTCTGACTAATCATCGTTAACCTTATTTCCAACCTCTGGCCGAGTTTACGTTTGGAAACATCATAAGAGTCATTTAATCCTGAATGCCTCCTCCCAACCGTAAAACATGGCTTGGAATTTGTGATGATCTGGGGTGTTATTTCTTGGAAACCCAGCCGACCAATGATTTCAATCAACAGCCGTGACTATTTAGGAATTTTAGGACCGAGTTCATATAATGGTTCAAGCACTGTTTCCGGAGGGTAACGCCATCTTTTAAGATCACAATGTCCCTATCCACACAGCTGAAATTGTTTAAACAAGGCACGAGGAACATTCTAATGAAGTTGAGCATCTCATTTGGCCACCACAATCACCATACCTGAATATTATCGAGCATTTATGATCGATTTTATAGATGCAAGTCAGAAGTCGATTCCCGCCGCCATCGTCCTTAGATGGCGACGGTCTAGAGATGGAAGGAGTTTTAACTGAAGAATGGGTTAAAATTTACTTGGAAACAATTCATAATTTGTATGAATCAGTACTTCGTAGAATGGAGGCTGTAATACTAAAATATATTGTGTGGATTTCCCATGTGTTTCCCCGATTTATCTAATCTCTGTAGGTATGTTGTTATGCATTCAAATTTGGAACGTCTCTCATGAGGGAAATCGTTCCCGATTAATGCTGTACTTGCCTTCTAGTTAATGCCTAGCACACTCTGCCTAAGAACGTAAGGTCAAAATGCTAGTGCATCATTTTTCTTGCTTACAATTTAGAAAAATGCTGATGACTTGAATTCCGGATATTTTATGTACGATTTTAGGCTCGCGTTCAGTTCATTAAAACTTCTTTGTTTCTGCTAGTCCTTATTGATTAATGCTTGCTTGAAAACCCTCAGCGTTGCTAAATACGTGTTTATTAATTTCAGGTTCTCGCGTTCTTCATCTTCCTCGTCTCGCTGAGCAATTCCACCGATTGTGCAGTCTGCACCTGCAACTCGTCTTTGGCATCTGTGTTAAATTGTATGCAGCACCCTTCAGTTGTCTAACCAGTGCTGCCGGAAAATAATTCCCAACTCACAATGTGGAATCCCATTAGTTGTGGAACAATCCCAAAGAACTTTCGATTGAAAATAACACAGTTCGACTAAATGAAATTAACGGATGTCGAATTTGTTTTTTGTGTAAGTTGAGTTATAGTACCTAGTTAGCTGCAAGGTCGTGAGGTGCTTGAAGTGAGGGTAAAGTATTGAAGACCCGTACTTTCAGGTTAATTTAAGTAATAAAATTTTCATGTGATTATGAATTTGCTTGAGCTCGTGTAAGGAGGACATTTTTGCGACAGTAAAAACTTTATGTTCAATGTGGAATTATTATCCAATTTATACTGTTTAGACGGCACGTTAATGAACATCGTTTCTTTGTACCAAAAAAAATCAGTATAAGAAAGTACAGTGTACTCTGTACGTGTATAAGCACCGCCGATATTTATATTAGGCGCCGAATGTGGCATCAGGTATACAATTTACTGGTTTGACTTGAAGTTTGTATAAAAACCTGGCGAGAGAAATGTACACAAGCATTATATGACTGTTCAAAACATGCTGGAATGTACAAGTGTGAAGTGAAGATAAGAGGAGTGTAACGCAGAATCTAGCTGATATAGGGAGATGGGTGCTAAACTTTCCGACTGTTTAATTGAAGAGGGCAATGGTAAATCCATTTGCATCAGTAAAGCGATGCAGCAATTTGATGTTCTCCATTCATTGAAACTCTGTAAAGCTAGATTCAATAATCAGGAATTCTCGCAGGAGCAAATGCAACATTACATCAATGAATTTGGACGTAGGTAAAACTTCGGATTCTCTGCACGTATTCCTTTTCGACGATTCGTTCAACAAGGGTGAAATATTGTATCTAATTATGAAACCTTTTTTTGCCTATCGGTAATAATTCTTGCATGTTAAGTGATCTTTTGTGACCAAGAATTTAAACTTCGTTTGCAGTTATCGAGTACTCTTTAGCCCGTTTGTTTTTGTTTCTTTTATATATTACTTATGGATGTAATCAAAATTCACAAAACATGTCGATTACAAGGGTTTGCCCGAACATATAGATGTTAGATTCCCTTGATCCATAGAGAATCTCATAATTCAATAATTTGAATAACTTGAAACATCATTTAAAAACCTAAATATAAATGAACGATTCTACGGCAAAATTTTGGAGTGAATTTTAGGATGCATTTTTATTGCATGTCTCCACACATAAGTTTGCTAAACCGAAACCGATATTGATCTAATTCAAAACTAAGCAATTTATTGTCACTACGCTCGTACAAGCGCTGTCAGAATTGTCTTGGCGCGTCGATTTTAATTAGCGCTCTAATCTTTCGCAAGTTTTCCACGCAATGTTTGTTGAATAGAAACCGATGAGAATCTTAAAAAAATGAAGCTATTTATCAAGTAAAGTAATCAAGACAAGTGTAAAGTAATCCACCTTGGCAAGAAGAATGAACAGAGAGATTACAGTGTGAGACTGAGAAGACACGGTTGCAACGAGAGAGTGTTTTTGTCGAACTCGGCAATGGAAAAAGACACATGAGTTTATGTCGACAATGAGTTGAAATTTTCTAAGCATGCTGCAGCCCAAGGTAATAAAGCCAATAAACGACTTTGACTGATCAGGTGCTCATACGAGTACCTTGATGCAGACGCGATGGGACGACTGAAATAGCCCAACATTGCCCAATACCAGCATAATTTTCATACTTCTTCCCGTGCGCAAGCATGCTGCAGAGCAAATTAGCCAACATGATTACTTGCTGAAAGCCACAGGAACCAAATGTGATCACCAAAACTAGAAAAAGACAAAAATTTAGTAGAAAACGTTCAAAGACGTACAACAAGGATAATTACAAGCTTAATTGGTAAGTCTTCTGAAGAAAGATTATAAAGCTGTCAAGCCTCAGTTACGGTCGTCTGCATGGTGACCTAATTGAAGTTTTCATGTATACCCATGGTTTATAAAAGGTCATAGAAAGAGTAATAGAAGTTGAAACAATAACTAACACCAGGGGCCACGGCTATAAACTAAAAACTGCTTTGTAACACATCTATGCGACAACATTTCTTCTCACTTCGAGTCACCGACATGTGTAACAACTTACAGCCTCCCTGATTGCATCGTTGACGCTCCGACTATGAACGCCTTCAATAACAGGCTAGACAAAGCTATGCAGAAGCATATGCTCAGTCTTGAAATGCCTGGCACCTTACAGACCTGCAACAAGTCCCGCAGCTATCTCAAACAATCGTCAGTTATGGAAAGATCGGGTTCAAAGATTGGCGCAGAGAGACGCGGGTTCGATCCCAGCTCTGTGCGCCAGTTTCTGGTCGGAATCGGCAGGGAGGCCGGGCGGTTAAGCACATCAGAATTATTGTAGCAGTGAGTTGCGAGTTCGAGAACGCAAAATGCTGTTAATGTTCTGCAATGCTGAGAGTCGGCGACAGGCCTCCGGCCTACTAAACGCTGAAACCGCTATATTATTATATTAAACGGCCGGATCTCTTGTGAATCATGTCACGAAAAGTATATGAGTCGGCAACAGACCGTGGTCCTATTTCTTCAGGGCCAACACTCCTATTCTATTCGATTCTATTCTTCTATTTGATTCTATTGACACTATTCTCAACTTATGTGCTCAAAACGATCTAAAAGTTCGTTCCAAAACAAAAAATCGTCCAAGTAACTCAACGCCCCATCAATGTCGGAGATGTCTATTTATGGAACTCAATTATATGTAATATTTACTAAACAGTCTTTTACTTGTCACAAATTATAATAATTGGCTCAATTCCAGAACTCCCGGTCACTAAAATTGCAGGAGTAATATCCGAACTCTAAAAACGGTATTGTCTGGAATGGGAGATCTATTGTGAAATTTTGAGTTATAGATAAAATCAAATGCAAAAATGAAAATAAATTTCATAATTCGAAAATAAATTCAAATTTCGTAAAAATATACAATATGCATGAGAGATTAATCGATCCTAAATTTGACTTTCTGTCAATCATGTTTTTCAGACATCTCGGTTGTGGCAACGCTCTTTGCTTTTCACGCAGTTGTTTTTCTTAGTTTATCAGGCGTTAAAGTGATCAAAATGCCTCCTGAGTAAGTGAAAATTTGTTTTTTTTTTTCTATATGCGCTGAATATTATTGTGTGCTTTACTAGGCAATTATTATGAATTTCAACAGTGCAATGTATTAATTTATTTTCATTGAGAAATTAAGCTACTAGTGTTTTCTTCGATTTACGACTATCGGATTGCATACATTCAAACCAGCTACCTAGCTAAGCTACGTTGAACTAAATGTGTATTTATTACATTGAAAAAAATTATTTATTGAAATAGCCTACATTGAATTGTAAATTCATGATTTGCTTGCTACTAATAAATTATCTTTTTATTCATCGTTTCTTCACTCCCGCCTCTGGAATTTCAATGACAATAGGTGCCAGTTGCAGGCCATGTTTTATTTCGTAGTACCTAAAATCTAAATACCTACCTGGCTACTAGGCCTAGGCTATACTTTAATATTTGAGCATAAATTACCTAGGTAGTTGACTCGATTCTCATTCTAATTGGTTGAGAATTGCAGTAGCTGTATGCTAATTTACCTTCTTAGCCTAACTCAAGTTGAGTTGAGGCCTTGAGGGTGATTCTGAAATAGTGGCAAAGCAAAGAGTTTTTTAGACTCTCCCACAAGTTCAATTTTGATAACTAGGTATAAGACAAGTAGACCAGTTAACTCGAGTAAAGTAGCATGGATACCAGCATTATCATACATAAGAAATTGGTTTAAATATTGAATAGGCATTATTGAGGAAATTAAAAATGCACTGATTCTAAAAAATCTCTGGTTTGCCACTATGAATTTCTGATACCTACTTGGCTACTTGCCTTGCAGTATTAGCATGTTTTTAACTGGCAATGAGTTGATAAACTTGAAAAATTGAAATAGGCTATATTTAATTTGCAATAGTAACTTAAATCCTGTTGGATTCAAAGTTGAAATTTGTGTAAAGAGCAGGCCTAGGCATTTGTGGGAGATTTTTCCTAATTGAATTGAGAAAAAAAAGTAAAAGTTGACGAAACTATGATCATTGAATAGGTAGCCTATCTTGAATTTAATTAACAACAGTAGGTGATAATATGATGGTGCTCTTTGACCATTTGCATTGTAAACATAAGCTTTGAACAGGATTGTAAACTAACTAGTACTTTTTCTGAAATATTTTGGCTCCTAGCTAGTACAATGTTTTGAAGAGTTTTGAATCTTGCAGCTAAAAAGTTATTTTTTGATTTTATTTGTAAAATTGCATCTAGCTTAGGCCTACTGTCAACCGGGGCTACTCGGGACAGTCCTCCGACACGACGTAAAACTGTTATAGTAGCAAAACTAATTGGAATGGTGCAAAACTAAATATAGTGGTGTAAACGTCAACATTTTTCCTATCTATGTAGCATGAAGGAAGTTGAAAAATACTACATTTACTAGCTTTGAAAAATTCCTGAAAAAAATGGTGAAAACCGCTATTTTGAAAAATTACTTCTGCTAAGGTCTGTAGCAAAAAAAAAATATTTGCCGTATTAAAAAATTTTACTTACATAAAAGGTATACCCAGGTGTCGGCTTGGAAACGTAATTGATGGAATTGTCCTATCTCATTAAAAAAAATGGCGACCATTTCCGCATGGCGGGGCTACTCGGGACACCCCCCGGGGCTATTCGGGACACTCCCAAAAACGCATTTACAGTAGAACCTTGGTTAGCAAAGGCTCCAGTTAAGAAAAAAATTGATTAAAAACTAGGAATATTTATTACATTTACCTCTCTCAGCAAAAAAATTTCACTTATCAAAAAATTAGTGCATCATCCGTCATCACAAAATTGTGCATGGAATGTCATACCTAGATAGAATTGTGCACCAGGCATCATAGAATGAAAAGTAATTGACCTAAACTATGATTTATTTCTCCAAAACATATGGTTGTCACTAAAATATTCCTTTCTGTTTTGGGTATGTTTTTCACGATCTTTTTAACTATAGTAAATTCACTTGAGGGGAGCGTCTGGGTGCTGAAGTAAATTCACTTGACGTAATTAAAATGGTGTGAAATTACAAGCTGTTCTGTAAGCTTACAGATACAGAAAAAAATGCTATAAGGCTGCTGATATGAAGCTTGCAGTGGGCAAGGTTGTTGTAAATGCTCAATGGCATGTTCATGGATACGGTAATATTGCATCAATAATACGAAAATGTCACATCAATAATTCGGTAATTAATGTATATGGTAATATATCAATAAAGTAAAAACAAGTAAAAATCACAGAAAATGTCATTTATTATACTTCTACATCATCTACAATGAGAGAGGAGGACTTCAGAGTACTGTTAGTAATGGATGAGTACGCTCTGCATGCTTCAAATGTTTTAAAATGAAGTTTTATTCCAAGTGTCCCAAGTGGGCCCCGTTCGACGGGGCTACTCAGTACTCGGGACACTCATTTTTTTGCTTCTGGCACCTTACGAATAGCATATGGAATTTTTTTGATGATGCCATTTGATAGCCCTTGCAAAAAGCTATAAAATGAGCCTAAACTTGTTTATAAAATGTTTCATCGTAAGAAGTTATTAACAGTTTTTTTAAAATAACGCTCAAAACTGTCCCGAGTAGCCCCGGTTGACGGTATGTCATTCTGGTCAAGAGGATGGAATTCTAAAAATGGTTTGTATATCATTTTCAATCCACCTTTGCCACTTTCTTTTTGGATCTAGGCCTAGTTGGGATAAGTTCAACTTTTTTCTGATATATTGTGGCTTGGATATCACCTATAATTTCAGTAGGTATGAAATCTTGCAGCTCTAATGTCATGTATTTTTGTTTGATTGAAAAAACAGTGGTTTGCACTTTGTAAATGTGTCATTGCATAAAAATGTCAACATTTGCAGTACTTCAAAACTCCTGCCAAAATTTCCTGCATAATGTCATAGTAACAAGCAGGATTGGAATTTTCCTACTTGTTTCTGAAATCTCAGTTCCTGTGACAAATTTTTAATAAATTTGGAAACTTGCGGCCCAATCGTGCACTTTTGTTAACAAATAGATAAGAGGTGATTCATCTAGTGGGAATCTTGCGGTTCCAGAAATGGCAGGAAAGCTCTAGTTGTGGCCCTAAAGGGAGATGTTTTCCTTGCTGGGAAGCTAGTCAACCTAAAATATTTTGTTAAAGATCGCATAGTTGCCGTCATGTCAGAGCAGTCAGCCTGTATTATCACATGTTTAGTTACCACTAAAGTAAAGACAAATGTTAATTTTGCAGTGTTGCTGTTTATAGGATAAAATTAGAGATTTTGGTTAATATGTGCACAGGACTTTGCAAATTAGTTTGTGGCATGTGAATGGCTCTCTGAACATTCATGAATTAATAACAAATCTTGCCACCAATAAGAGTTTAACATGATGCAAATTCATGAATTGATAACAAATCTTGCCACTAAGGTTTAACATGATGCAAATTCATGAATTAATAACAAATCATGCCACCAATAAGAGAAAGTTTGAATATTCATACAACCTGTCATGAAATTGAAAATTATCATTAAACCTGGGGCTTAACCCAGAATTATGTCATGCTGTCATATGAAGATAGACATACAAGAACCTGGGTTATGATATTGGACATCATGGTCATGATCTAGGAAGCCGTCACAACCCAAACCAGATCTAGAATATATATTAAATCCAGGACTAGAGCTTTCCTGCCATTTCTGGAGCTTTGCTAGATAAATCGGCATTCATCAATATTTATCTAACAAAGAAAATATAAAATGTAGCCCTTTTTAGGGATTTCAGTTATTCATGTTGTAGGCTCTACAGATTATGATTTTGGTTGTCAATCCTCATAATGCCAGGAGTGTTTCAAATGATTCATTATATGCAGTTAAGCACTGATAACCTATAAAAAGACATGGGATAAATGCTCGAATATATTCCACTATTAAATTTAACCTAATGGATTTGGATTGTCTCCAATGTCTGGGTCATTTCTTTACCCATGATGTCTAAAGCTGTGTACTGCCTTGTCTAATTTTTCCTCTCAAAGGAATTTTACATGTACCCTTACTGCTATTGCTTGTTTGAGCTTTCTTCTCTGGCTGTAGCCAAGCTTATAAGTGACCAAAATGGGTCAATCTACATTTTTTTCTCAATTTGAGAGCAAAAGCAGATTAAAATGATCTAGAATATTTAATTGTGTTACAGAACTTCACTAGATTTGGTTGCATTTGAGTAGGAATGGTATTTACCTCTACCTATTAGCAAATTTAGCTAAATGTTTCTTTTGTAATATGGTTTGAAATTGATATAACTAATAAGGAGTGAAGAAATAACTTGTGGTGCAGAATTGTCACCAATGAAACTGGTGCACAAGCAAGTCAAGTTGCAGGACAATTTCCTTGAATAACATCTTCCAGAATTCTAAGTAAATGAAAGTTTTGTGGATTTTAGCTCATGATTTTTCATCAGGTATAGAAATAATCATCTTGGTGCAACTGGCTGTAGGAGGGCTTAATGATTTTGATTTGACTAAGGTTTCACTTGGACATGTAACATTAGATGTCCTAAATATTTTTTTTTTTTTTCATTTTTTTCAGGAAGGTGACTTTGCCAACTGTCCCAGAGGTGCTCCTGAAGAAGAGGAAGCGCCGTGTGCAGTCTGCCTTCAAGCGCAATGCTGTGTACCACAAGGTTTGTTCCTTATGACCAGAAAAAGGATAATCCTATGTTTGTCATGTCTTGATTTTTTGACAAGATAAAGATTGAGATGCAGCTACAGACTTTGCAGACAGACAAATTTTTGTCATTTATTGGTTGTTCAAAGTGCTAGATGTTTTAGTGAGCAACAACATACAGTTGTTGCACTGGATCACATTTTCTGATTACTCGTCTCTCTAACGCTTAATTTCTCATTTCCTCGGTAAATTTACTCATTATGTATCATAGGGGCTCGTTATTTCGGCATTTCAATCAGTCTTTCTTCAAGATTTAAGGAAGACTTTTTTTGCCATTTATGGTGACAACTTGAACGTTTTGCTGTGCAGAAAGCGGCACTGACTCGTGCCCGCCATGCTGAGGCCTTCAAGCGTGCTGAGCGCTACGCCATATTCTACCGTCGCAAGGCTAAGCAAGAGGTTCATCTGAACCGGCTGGCCCGGGCCGAGGGCCGCGTCCGAGTGCCTGCTGAGCCCAAGCTTGCCTTTATCATCCGCACTAAAGGGTATGTACCCTTAACCTTTTTAGCGCATTTTCTCATTTATGGAAAAAATGCACTATTGTGCTCTCCATGTCCGTTCGTTTGTCTGTCCGTCCGTGACTTCACATTTTCGTCGACGACAAAATGTGCTCTCTGTTACTCACGGCAGTGAGTACTGAGTTATATTTTATATCATCTAGTATGGTTGCCCTTCACCATGTACCACGGAGTATCTTGTTACGTTATTTCTCGGCTATCATGCATTGAGCCATGATCTGTCAAAAACGGAGATTACATGAATTTATTGGATATATGATAATTAAATTTTGTACTACACAGTTATGATTCTTGATTGATTTATAAAATAATGAGAATTTTTTATATTGATTATAGTAGTACTATGTACGTATATGTTTGAAGGTATTTATAATTTTTTTGTTGCTTCCTACTTTTTTTAACGAGTCATGCCGGAAAAACTAGTAGAAGTTATGAATCCTGCCTCGGTATGGAATGTAACTATTAAATCAACTTTTTATTTCTTGCAGTAGGAGTAGTATTGATTACGGAATCTTTATCTTTTTCAGTATCAACTGCATGCCCCCAAAAGCCAAGAAGATTTTGCAGCTCTTCAGATTGCGCCAGATCAACAATGGCGTTTTTTCAAGGATCAACAAGGTAATATAGAGCTGTAATTGCATCGAAATGTCAAATTGAAATAGTTCAAAGCAAGCAAAAAGAAGTTTTTTTGTTTCTGTAGTACTTAATCCTAAATTTACATTATATCTTCTGGCGATGGAATTGAAAATATGTATACTTTTTAAAAAAATAGCTAGTCGACAAGAAAGCATTGCAACTCATTGATTTTATTTTTGCAGCCTGCCCTGAATATGTTGCATCGCATCGAGCCCTACGTCACCTGGGGCTACCCCAACCTCAAGAGCGTCAGAGACCTCATCTACAAGAGAGGTTTCTGTCGTATCAAAGGCAAGCGCGTCCCTCTTATCAAGTAAGTTTTATCCCTTATCAACTTATAATTTTTACTCATGATGAAATAATCTTAAACATTGCACCAATGCTCCGTCCGAGATTGTCAGAACCAAAAAATGGTATATTTCTTGCGTTTTCTCATGATTTCTCATTGGCTTTGTTAATTGATTGAGCAATACATTTTCAGCACTGATATAACTTTCTTGCCTTTTATTAGCAATGAAATGATCGAAAGGCGTCTGGGCAAGTTCGGCATCGTGTGCATGGAAGATTTGGTGCATGAAATCTACACCGTCGGCCGGTTCTTCACTCTTGCAAATAGCTTCTTGTCCACGTTCAAGCTGAACAACCCTGCTGGTGGATGGCGAAGGAAGTCCAATCACTACGTCAATGGTGGTGACTATGGTAACCGTGAGAACCAAATCAACAAGCTCCTGAGGAAAATTGTTTAAATTCCTCAATAAACTTGCTGGACTCGGGATTCTTCATTTTTCTCTCCATCTTAGCATCTTTCAAATTATTTTTGACAACTGCAGCTTTACTGTAGTGATAACAGGCTTTGATTATTGCAGTGTTCCATAAAGTTGATTCGTCAGGTGAGCGAATTGTTAGTACCCTTCGACGTTGCTTCAGTGTTATGTTGATAATAATTTTTTTTTCACATCCTTTAAAGCTTGGAGAGCGTATCTCTCACAAAGTTGCAAATAATAAAGTCATTTGGGCTCGGCTATGAGCACGAGTTTTGTGCCGCTCATCTAAAGTAATTAAGTTATTAGTTGGACTAATGTTTAGGCGAAGCATAATGATTACCTAACGAATGGTTAGCTCCTGACTAGAAGAATTTTAGACGAGTGGAAGCTTCAATTTTGTAGACAATCGAAGTATAAAATACAGGAAAGTTACCAAACGGTTGAAGTCCAGATTGCCATGATTAGAGAAATTGTGGTTCCTTAACAATTTTGATAGCAACCGGCGAATTTGGTAGGAATTTTCGAAACTTTGACAAACGGGAAGAATTTTGCAATGAATAAAATTGGCAACTGGCCTGATTAGACCTCTTTGGCCTGATTTGCTGACACGACTAGTAGTGAGTTGAGACGACAGCATTGATCTATTCCTGAATGAATGCCTAGGATGGCACGACAATACAGCGAATATAGGCAGTAGGCCACCACACATATTTTGCTAAAATTATTGAGAACGAACCCCTGGCCCTATTGAGTGTACTAGTACTAGCAACTTAGCAAGGAGACCATCTTGAAATGAATATCGCGCGTAGTTAGATTTCCCTGTCGTTTCATTATGAGAAATTAAATCGACGCCTCTAAATCTTGAAACGGTAAAATGATTGAAAAGCTGAAAAAGAAATCTCATGTTTATCTATAGTTTTGCAAACACGGGCCGCGGGCGACACCGAAAAAGTTGGGTCTGTGTCCTGTGACCGTCTGTCTAGTGTTGACTGAGGAGCTCCGAGCTTACATGCAAAAAGCCGAATGTCTGGATTAACACTTCGGCGTCACGTGGAGACTGTGTTAAATCTACAGAAATTAAACAAGAAAGATTCCATGTGTGGTTCCATATGGTAGAGTTGAATTTGATGCTTAGATAAATAAAATCGTTATCACTTTTCATCTTCAGTTATCACAATTTCTCTCGCTGGGAGACTAGGCCATGAGGCCTGCCGCCTGGCCCTGGGGTCTGTACGCAGTACGTTTGTTCAGTTTTCAGCACTGAAAACTGCCGAAACTAAGCGTACCTACTGCGTACGGTGCGTAAGGTCCAAAAATACATAGGCCTATTTATATATATGATCCTGACCTGGCTGACCACTTGCTAGTTTATAAGTTAGTGAGACTAAAATTAGATGTCTCATGTACATTAATTTAAAATTACATATCTGTTACCTATAAAGAGAGTCAAAGAATTGTTGGGTTGTTTCCAATTCCAATATGTCCTGCTTACTTAGTTATATACTTTTCAGAAAATATCCTGCTGTTAACAGATTCCCAGTCACAGTCAGCATTGCACGCAATCAATAATACCATCAGACATCAGTCCCTCATACAGGGAATATGTCTTCAAATTTCAATAGCTAGTTGATTCACAAAAGGCAGGCCTCTATATAGTACTACAATGGGTCATAGTGACAAACCAGAGATTTTTTAGAATCAGTTCATTTTTTAATTTCCTTATTTACTCAAGATTTAAACCAATTTCTTATGTATGATTATGCTGGTATTCATGATACTTTGCTTGTCTACTTATAGGACTCAAAAATGAAATTGAGGGAGAGTCTAAAAAAACTCTCTGCTTTGACACTATGCAATGGGTGCAAGGGCACTGTGGTATAATAAGGTAATACAGTGGCAGACATGGCCCTGGGCAGCCAAAATCAATATGAGTCATCACTATTCACTCATCTGTCATCTCAATGTTCAATCAGCCTTAAGACTTAAGTGTGAGCCTAGAAGACTAAGAAGAGTCCCTGAGACCCTGACTGTCTTGAGAGGAAAACTTCATCAACACTGGAGACTGGACTACCTACCTAGAACATGGAAGACATCTGTTGCCCGCACCCAGAAGGGGACTTTTTTGAGCAACGTCATGGATGAACCCAGACTGCAACCCTGGCTCTGCCTAAAGTTCCGCAGAATGGAGTGTGCTGCCGCAGTGCCGCTCGACTCAGATTTGGACATGCCGGTGTCAGAAGCCATCTATGATGGCTTCTGACACTGGGCTTCTGACACTGGGGCCCTGGGCAGGGTGGCCCAGTGGTTAAAGTACAGAGTACCAAGATTGGCGCAGAGAGGCGCGGGTTCGATCCCAGCGCTGCGCGCCAGTTTCTGGTCAGAATCGGCGAGGAGGCCGGGCGGTTAAGCATAGCAGAATTGTAGCAGTAAGTTGCGAGTTCGAGACCGCAAAATGCTGTGAATGTTCTGCGATGTTAAGAATCGGCGACAGGCCTATGGCCTAATAACGCTGAAACCGCTATTATTATTATTATTTATATGATCTAGGCATAGATTCAACATGAGTGACTCTGATCAATGTGCTATGTGATAATGTGCAACACTGTCACTGTGGATACAATTGAGCACTAGGCTTACTCGTTGCATTATCAGTGGCATGCACAACAGCACAAGAACTGAAAACTAATTTAAGATGTATAAATGTACAATTTTCTCTGCACGAACTTTTGGGGGGAGGGAACTATGATACTAATGTACAAAGGAAGATCTTTCAATTTTTGATGGTATACATTTTGAAGTCAGGTAGGGTTAGCAAACTTTAGACAGGTGACCAAAATGGAAATGTCGCTTGCATGTAGGTATGTATAAGTGTGTATGTGTGTGTGTGTATATATATGTGTATATGTACGTATCATCACCGTATGTATGTGCATGTATGGTATATGCATGCATGACGGAAATTATCTTACTTGTTTTAGTTTACCCAATTTAACTATCAATTATTGTGCTATAAGCAATGGCCCTTGCTTTCTGATATTTTTTCATGTTATGTGTAGCTTTCCTCTTACACGCTGTCATGCTCAACCATCACGCCCACTGACCTTTTATAAGCAAGAATAAAGTGGATTGACTTCCATGCCAAGAGGTCTAAAACTGCAGAAGCACTCAGGCCCAATGGTCATCCTTGCGGTTGTCCTGCAGCTTTAAGTCCACGCAGCGTAGACACCCGGAGAAGAAGAAGAAGATTACTCAGTTACTGCCATGCTGGCTTCCTGCTTACTGCCATGGCAACCATGCTGGCTTCCTGCTTGCAATGGCAGCCAAACTAGAAAATTGGGCAAATACCACTGGGCATTGTTGAATAATAGTAAAAAGGCCATGCTTGTAGTAAAATTAAGGGCCCATTTTTTTGACGCATAACTAATGTCTCTAGTAAAAAATATGACCAACGCACATTTATGCCTGTAAATTTGATATTGATGCTTATTTGCCCAGTTTACCGTTGAAACTTGAAAGGATATTTCTTTCCTGTAATTTTCAGAATATTGGGCCAAATATTACCTAGAGATTAGCTTGGCAGACAGGCAGGCATGAAATATAGGTAGGTCTACCATCAATGCTACTAAGTTACTAAATTTGCAACAACACTTAGGTATTGTGCCAGCCTTCAAAAGAAATGATCAATTTTTTTTCAACAAAACTGAATTTAACGGTCTCCGTATGGTACCACAGTCAAAAAGACTTCTTGGTTATTTTCTGGTCATTTTGGATAAAGCAGCACAAGCAGAAGCCAGGGTAAGCCACCTGCACCTGTGATTGAGATTAAGATATTTTTTTTATGTGTAATTGGCTTTTGGCCACCTTCATCCATTCACAATTTTTTATGGCTTTGCCAAATTTTCTTTTCATGAATAGTATGGAAAAAAGTAATTTTTTTCCTACTTTTTTTTTATTTGATCTAAAATGATTGTTTTCTATCCTCAATTCTATATTACAAGTATTATTATATGGTTTTATCAACAAGCAGCAAATTAAATGCAGTGCGTGGCTGCTGAGTGGTGATTAATGTGTCATTGAGGGTATTTTCTAAGTCCAACTAGAGTTTTCTCACCATTTTTGGAGCTGACCTTGCTGCTAGGAGCTATTCATTAAAAATCTATAAATTATGATACTAGCCAAAACTTTGATTTGTTGTGTATTATAAATACTGTATGTCTTCAAAGATGTTATGATCATGCTAGAGAGATCATGTTTTAATTTGTTTTGGAAAATACATCATTTCTATTGACTATTGATGGTCAGCAACTTCAGTGATGTACTGACCATGAAATTTTTGAGCATTTTTGGTAGATGAATTACCTCCTAAATAATTGACAGAAATGCAATATAAAGCTGCAAAATTCCAAAATTATCAAAAATATGTTGCATTGGATCTGCAAGGCAAAAATTTGCAATGAAGATGCTCAAGCATTCACTAATGCAGATGACACTTCATGCTTCAGCTGTTATTACCAGAAATTAGGGGCTAAGCATTGCAGAAATATTATATACTAACAATTCAATTGCGATCATCTGTCACTATTTATTTCATTCATTCTCATTATTTCTTTACAGGAATTGAGTGTATAGTATTTCATTGGTCATGTCAAGCAAATCCTCATACTTATTACCACGTGATGTTTTACCTTATCATTATGACTTGAATATCCTAATCAACTTTGAAGAGCTTTCGTTCTCGGGAGAGGTCAGCATTAAAATCAAGGTAAGAATTGCAAATGTTGTTTCAATTTTATCCCACATCTGTTTAACAGTGAATTTTTTTATATTTCATTCCACAGAAGTACTAAAATGCTGAAAATTTTGAAGAAATGGTGATGTTAAACAGAAGGGCTGAGGTTTCTCTGGTTTTAACTCAGAGACAATAAAACACTTGTTAAATTATATATTGGTTGCCAAATTTTTAACTGGATAATTAAATTATATATTGGTTGTAAAATTTTTAACTGGAATATATTCAGCCCAGAGGTTTTTTTATAATGTTGAACTAAAATACATTTCAATGTGCTGATTCAACCGTCTGCATGATGGTTTTTTGGTTAGGTTAAATGATTTTTATTGAGTTCCCTCTGGTAATGAGATAGTAACTTATTTGATTAGTTGACCTGAGAGGGTCTACTCTAGGGCATGTTTAATAATGGGTCGTCAAGAATTTACATAGCATGGCCACTGGAGTATGTGAAAGGACATGTGAATACACTTCTAATGTTATATTTATCTAGAACTTTATTTTTAATTCGTAACCAAATAATTGAATAAATCGCTTCACCACTAAATGTATCTAACCCCTATTTAAATTCTCAAACAAAATAGGAAGACGTTGATCTCGTTCAGTGGTACAACTTCCGCACCCGCTCGTAGCATTCACGAACGACCTGGGGCCTTACATTCAAAAAATTTACAAGTTCGTTAATCCATCAGCCAATCAGCGATAGCATTTCAAGCTAAAATCACCAATCACAGACAAGAAATTGGCCACTTCGTGTACTTGTAATATTGTATCTAAGCGAGTTTTGACAGTACGGCCACTGGGCATTATTGGTTCCAGTAGCCGTGCCGCGGCCACTACCTTATTGCTTCTTCATAGCTACATTCTCATCTAGCGGCATTGGATTGTTACGGGGTTGCGTTTGTTCGTACTGATATGAAGTTGCTTCTGCCTCACTGTTGCTGCTGACTGTGGCCATACTCCCAGACCACAATTGCAGCTCGGAACTGCCGCGGTCTTACTGTCGACTCCAGAATTGCTGCGTGTCTCGTTGCAGCTCGCGTTGTCTCACTGCCGACGCGGCCGTAGCGCTGATGTTGTGTAGTGATGTAGATTTTGATTTGTCACTTGTAGATTTTAATACAGTAGTTTTATACATGAGTCTTGATTCGTAAATGGCTTGAAAAGTTGGAAGTTTTGTGACTGCGGCCGTTGCTTGGAACGAAACCAACGCCCACGATCGTGGCTGCACCTGCGGCTAGATGTGCAGAGCTGTAGATTGCGCTCGCGTCGCAGGCACTTCCGAACTATTCCTGCCTATTTCCGTCCCTTATATTGGCAGCCATTACGCAGGCTTTAGCATGTAGACACTGTTTCCCTCAGCAACACATTTGAAATTTACCCTCAATAAGTTCGCCGATTTTCGATGTGAACTAACTGTGAACATTCTTTACCATCTTAACACCAGCGATCTATTGACACATTAAATTCATAACTACAGGGTAATTTATTAATGTACCATCAAACTTCGCTGTAGAGATGTAGTATCTGAGGCGGTTGATAAGCGAAGATATATAAGTGATCCTCACTGAAATGTTGCTTTCAACTATTATTTATAGTACAATATTCCAACTTTGTTTACATGTATATTTTCTTGAGGTTTGTGTAAGAAAGCTGTGTGAATTTTGGTCTAATAATTTTTTGGGGGCCACAGATAAAATCACCGACACGAGTGATCAAATTACATGCAGTTGGGCTCTCGATCCCCTCTGCCTCAGTCACGTACGATGAGACTAAGGAGGTGGTGAACTCCGTGTCTGTGGACTGCGACGATGCAAGTCAAACCATGAGTATAAATTTTGTCGAGGAGCTTGTGGTGGGCGATGGCACACTCTCGCTGCAGGCGTACACCGCACCTCTGGATACGCAGATGCATGGCCTCTATAGGTCCAAGTATCTAGGGTGAGTTCCGATGACTTGTGATAGTTTACGTTGAAATGGTGACTTTTAATGAGCGAATATTCTAAAAATGTTACACTAATGTGCAATATTCCAAGTTTAGTTAAATTAATAACTTAGAAATCCCTAAACACTCAAATCTGTACTTCTTTTGATCTGTGAAATATTTTCTTGGTCATCATTATTGATGATGTCATCATTGGACATCATCCGAGAGTCTGATCAGCTTAAGATATCACTTTCATGAGCATGTTTGACGCAAGTATTCACATAACCTTATTCTGCATGTAATATTATCACTGTTATTATCTTAATTTTATAAACAATTACCCAGGGAGGATGGCAATGTCCGTTGGATGGCGGTAACGCAATTTGAGGCCGTGAGTGCCAGGAGATGCTTCCCTTGTTGGGATGAACCAGAACTCAAAGCTACCTTCTCACTCACCCTGACTGTTCCTAAGGGAAAAACTGCTCTCTCGAACATGGTGAGGAAATGTTTGTGCGGAGTACGTGGTTTTTCTTTAATTAATCATACTCCAATTTCATTAGTTTCTTGGCTGCTGTGCTTAATTTTATCTGATGTTTCCCCAGTAGGTCAAAATGTGTTCTCTGACTTTCATTTGTCAATTCATGTTTATACTTGGCTTATATGAAACTTCGTTAGAGAGTAGAAGTATGAAGTATTTTTATCTTTCTAATAGGTACTATATTGTTTAAAAAAATAAATTTATTTGCAGCCGGAAGATAATCGAAAAGATTCTCAGGAGAACTCTTCGTTGGATGTGATAACTTTCCAAAAAAGTCCCATCATGTCCACGTACCTCGTTGCTATAGTTGTGGGTGAGTACGAAGTGCTTGAAAATGTCTTGGATTGTGGCGTCAAAGTCCGTGTGTTCACTCCCCTGGGCAAGAAGGCGCAAGGGGAGTTTGCTCTGGACGTTGCTAGTCGAGTGTTACCTTACTACACGGATTATTTCAAGGTCCCTTATCCGCTACCTAAGTTGGACTTGATAACCGTACCTGACTTTAGCGCTGGTGCAATGGAAAACTGGGGCCTTATCACTTGCAGGGAATCGCTCATGCTGTGTGACCCCATCAACAGCAGCTCTCTAAATAAACAGCGGGTGGTAATTTATATCGCCCACGAGGTTGCTCATCAGTGGTTTGGTAACCTTGTTACCATGCAATGGTGGACTCATCTTTGGCTCAACGAGGGATATGCTAATTTCAGCCAAACGCTGTGCGCCGACCATCTCTTTCCCGAGTACGACATCTGGACTCAGTTCCTCTCCCAGGCTTTCATTCCCGCACTTGAGCTTGATAGCCTGGACAGCACTCATCCTGTTGAAGTGGATGTCCAGTCGGCGGACTCTGTGGACGAAATTTTTGATGAAATTTCTTATGACAAAGGAGCTTCAGTTATTCGCATGTTACATCGCTACCTCGGCAACGAAAATTTCCAAATAGGCATGAATCTTTATTTGACGCGGCATCAATATTCCAACACATGCACGGAGGACCTTTGGAAGGCTCTTGCTGACGCATCTGGAAAGCCAGTGGAAAAAGTCATGTCTCCATGGACTCGGCAATCAGGCTTCCCGATGGTGAGTGTGGAGGCTCAAACCGAGGCTGATTCCATAACACTCCATGTGAGTCAGACGCGCTTCTTCCTCAATGGATCGAAAGATTCTTCGAATGCTCTGTGGGCTGTTCCTATTGATGTGGCCTGTAGCATGGACGACAAAATACGATGCATACTGCTTGATAAAAGCTCTGCCACGTTAGAACTCCCGGCCATGTCGCCAAATGACTGGATCAAAATCAACGCTGGTGCCTGCGGCTTCTATCGGACCAAGTACAGTTCAGACCTCTTGAAGAGGCTTGTACCACAGTTGAGCAACCAAACTCTACCGACTTTGGACAGAATAAATATTCTAGATGATCTCCTAGCAATGGTACAAGCAGGACATACCTCAACTGTGGAACTGTTGGAGGTTCTCAAAGCATATAAGGGCGAAGAAGACTATTCAGTCTTCATGAGTATCAAAAACTGCACCTCGACGCTCAGCAGTGTCCTGTCACACCGCAAGGAACTTAAAAGTCTCATGGCACCATTCATACGAGATCTCTTTGCCAATATCCATCAGAAACTAGGTTGGGAACCGAACGAAAGCGAAAGTTATTTGGATAAACTGCTCCGGCCTATGGTGTTATCAACTCTAGGTGAGAACGGCGAGCAGTCCGTAATCCAAAAGTGTCAAAGTTTACTTGTAGATCATGTGAGTGGCTCGAAAATGTTGCCAGCTGATCTGCGTGCATGTGTTTACAAGACTTGCATGATTCACGGAGATGCGTCGACACTCAACACGCTCATGAAGCTTCACCGCGACGCTGACAGCCAAGAAGAACGTGATCGCTTGTCACGGTGCATGGGCGCCACAAGCCAGCTTGATCTGCTCACGTCAGTGTTAGAGTTTACCTTGGAAGAAATCCGTCCGCAAGACATACCATTTGTGCTCTACTCTGCTGCAGGATATTCTGCAGAGGGCAGTGCTTTCGTATGGGAGTATTTCAAGACAAATTATCATTCGAAGTTTGTACCTCTTTACGCTGACAGCGATCTCATGATCCGACTCATCAAGTTCGTTTCTGGAAACTTTGCCAGCGACGATAAAGCCGAAGATATTCGGTCGTTTTTCGCGGCTCTACAGTTTCCTCCTGGTTGGCGAGGAGCGCAACAGAACATCGAGAACATCAGGTTGAATGCTGCTTGGCTTGAGCGCGATGCCGATGCGGTAAGTCAGTATCTGAAACAGTGGCAGTAAAACCTGCCATCATGCCTGATAAGACGTCTGCGTGAAAAGAAATGCTGGATATACTTCAAAATAAAAGTGTGATCACGGTGCTGATGATCTCCATTTAATTAGTGTTTTAAGACTTAAAAATTTCAGGTGCACTGTATATATATATATACACGGAGTTTCACTGTCATTCTCAGAGCACTGGAATAATTTGCATTGTCAAAGACCAATCTTGTTATATAACAATGAGTTTTAAACGAAAATACCAAGAATGAATTGTACGGGAGAATAGATCTTGAATAAATATGTATTGAGCTCTTTAGCAGGCGGACATTGAAATACGAATTTCAGAGGCTAGTACAAGAAAGTATTACCTATTCAAAAATATAGTTACTCTAGGCCACGTTTAATATTTTGAAAAATGATGGAAGAAATAGTAGTTCGAGAATATATTAAATGTCGCCAATACGTTCGAAATGTTTAATATTGTGGAAAATGAAACGTGCATATGTTATGGGAGACTGTAAAACTTCAATAATTAAAATCAATATCAAGTTGATATTATCTGATTAGATATTGCTACTTGTGCTTTAAAAAGGACGAAAAGAGCGTTGATTTTTATGACCTGACTCGCAAATTTTTGCTAAGTGTTGTATTTAAATTTCTTAGGGAGATTGATGATGGGAACCGAGTTACTACTCTATACATTTAACCCCTTTTTGAACAGAAGTTGTAAGTTACTCGGTCCATTCGTCTTCAAGACGTTGATAGCTGCTAAGAAAATATGAGAATGACGTGGTGACCAAAATGTATTGCATTGCTGAGATCGCTACCTATTGAGAAGTCATGACGATCATGTCTATCATCATTATCTAAAGTTGATTAGATCTAGCGGTACACAAAATGGTAATTTTTTTTATTGTAACAGCGCGAGTTGTGAAAGTTGCAAATAGCTCTATATTGTGTTACATACCATTTCAAACTCGATGTCAAAATTAGCTGGGAAAATTATAGCGAAGGAATCGAGAATTTCTGGAGATGGATTTAGGATCAAAATTTCGATTCATTAATGCCTCGGTGTTTGTAAGGAACATTCCGTTTGCCATACGACAGACAAGGCCAAGGATTGTAATAAAAGTTAACCAGCTGCACGTCAGTACTAAAAATAATAAGAGTTTTATTTCCTTTTCTGAATTCAATTACAGAAATGGGGCTAAAGAAACAAATTTCAATGCAAGATTTTATTTAACAGCACTCGAGCCAAGTGTGGTTAAATAACAGAAGCAGGTTGAGAAAACTCCAAAGATTAACGATATCCACAGCCAAAATATATCTATACTTACTTACGCGTATGATGCTGCTAGAGTTCAGCCCATAAATACCAAGATGGCTGATGAAGCAACATAAAGCCTTGTAGTTTCCATCGGCGTCGAACGTGGAGCTAGCAAATGTGCAAGAAGAGAAAAATCCCCTAACTATAGTTATTAGATTGAAGCGGTATTACCTAGAGCAGGATAAATACATCGGCTCGAGGTTCTGTCTCCTACATTAACGAATTCTTTGCCGACCCTCAACATTCGTCTTCGCAGCTTCAACTCTTTAAATTAGAACGCTCTTTACACTTTCTTTATCGGTAGTTTTTATGAAGCAGTAATATACTTGGCCTAAATTACAGAGCGCCTCCATCATACGTCCACGCAGCACAGAAAGCTAAACCAACAATGGTTTAGATAATATACATTCACTGCATTCCCTTAATAATCTTTAATTCATGTACATCCATGAGGGAAGCTATTTATATGTAAGGTTACTCCGTGACCAATTTAACCACTTTATACGCGATAACATAAGATTCGCGTTTTGTGTTTAAAATGAATTAGCTATGATAGCACCGCAGAAGGCGTGGATTTGTCCAAGTGCGGGAGTAGCCTAGCCACACTAGCGCTTCTCATTTTAACATTCAATCAATAAGACTGAACATATTCTCAAGCTTCACTTGTGCAGAACTTCACTGTAGAAAATACCTAATAACAAATGCCACACGGTACAACTTAATCCAACACCAACTCCCTCAAACCCTACAAGCGCAGTAAAAATACGCGAGAGCTCATTCTACCGTTCCGTGTGTTGTGATACATGTGTAGCTTGGCTCTCATACAAGGAAGAATATGAAGGTAAATTATGCCTTAACATTATCTCGCTTATTTACACATCGTCGGCATTGTCCCATAAGAGGATTCTCATCTGAACAACCTGGGCTTTATCGTCAAAATAGTTTAACATGACCACGCTTATTAAAATGAACTAAAATAATAGATTATTCCCGTTCCACTCATATTATGATTAACTAGCTGGACAAAGGCTAAGAAGTCATTCCAAAAAATCCGTGGCTTCCTAATATACATCTGTCCTGCAAACTTTTTTTATACGAGACGTCCGCTATATAGTTAATATCACGCAATGCGCTTCTTTGAGTTGAGAAATATGGAAGCGATGCAAAAATGTGAGGTTATCAAGAATTTTTTCTTAGAGAAATTTATATAAACGAAGATGATAAAAATGTATCATTATTATTAAAAATGTGAGATATAATGTAAGCGGAGAATTTTCAGCCTCACAAACTAGGTAAAGTTGAAACCCTTTCAGTTTGCAATGCCAATTTTTTTCTGCATCACAATGAATGAAAGTCCTCACCTGAACGCAAGTAATATTCCTCGCATACTTTCAAGAAGTAACATGCGCTGCAAGAACATAGGTCGACCTTTAACTAAAAGAATCAAACACACGAGTAAAACAATACTGGTCATTGCTGCAGCTTAGTACTCGGTCAGATGATCTGGCTCGTCGCCACTCAGATATTTATCCCACATGGCGTCAAACAAATTTTCAAGATTCGAGGCGTAGGTCTTGCAGTTGAAAAGTGGAGAACTCAAGCGGGCCTCCCACACTCGGCTGCGGATAGCCTTCAGACTGCAAAGGCAATGATGCCGATTAATCAATCTTAACCAACCAATAAGGTTAATTAAGAAATTTAACATAATCAAAAAATGCATTGAAAACAGGAACAATACAGTTAGAACAAGTTTCCACTCTTGAGCGTTAGTTTCATGAAAGAAGTTTTAAAATTTACAGGAATCAAGTATTCGATAGTTGATTTTCATGCGAACAGAAAGTAAATTGAATACGAGTCCATATGAAAATGTCTAGTGGCTTAAAAATGTAGTTTGGCTCAACATAAAGTGCATTCTGATTCGACAACAAGTATGCGCAGCGCGACTGGGAAAATTAGCTGCATATTTAGATTGTGATGTTGTCAATGCCTTTAGTTTACTGAAGTTGGCTAGGCCTATAAGCGCAACATAATACTAGTAAGAAAGGGAAAATTAGATTTGGAGACAGAATGCGAAGTCATTTATGCCGATGATACGGCATAAAAAGTATAAGGGCCAGGGACTCACTAGTCGTGGTCGGTGCCAAGCTTGACGGCGATGTCTTGGTACTGATGCCGCGTGGTAGCGATGAGCTCAGACACGCCCAGGCACGTGAGTTGCGACGCAGCCACGCGGGACGCCAACGTCTCGCCCATCAGTGTCACCATGGGAGTGCCCGCCCACAGCACGTCCATGCCTGCGCCATGAAATTAACAGAATTATTAGTCCGCTAACAAAAATCATGATCGGATCATTACCTATTTACAGGGAATTTATACTTGTCAGCTAAGAAACATCGTGCTCAGATCATTATTTACCGAGTAATTAATACTGGTCGGCCGAGAAAAATCATACTCAGATCATTATTTGCAGAGTAATTAATACTGGTCAGCCAAGAAAAATCGTGCTCTTGTCATTATTTCCAAATTCATTCAAGTTTAATGCAAGTAAAGAGATGACTCGTAGCTTGCAACTAATTTACAATAGATAAGTAAAAAACGTATCTTAGCTCCAAAGATGTAAGGGGGCAATATCGTCCGATTTTCTGAAATTCTGCCCAGTGCCATCAATATACAAGATGTAACCCACGATTAAGATCACCTGCTCTTACAATCACTTTTTTCACTCTTCGCTTTTCAATTTTCGAGACCAAAGAAAACTCATAGCAAATTATTTAAATAAAAGACTCCATTTACAATAAATGATTAAAACATTAACTGATTAACTTTGAAATAATGAGAAATAATCAAACCGATTTTACAGTAATTGAAAATCTGAAAGCAGCTAGGGCTCTTCGTCAATTCATAAACACAAGCGATTTATTTGAATATTTTGTTATGGATGAATGGAAGTAAAACAAAACACCCCAAAGCCCAAATCGAAAAAAAATCCATGCACATAAGAGAAGACGCTCGCTCACCCGTGGTGTGGCCATTGCAGAGCGGAGTGTCAAGACACACGTCAACGAGCTGTCCACGCCTGACGTGTTCTTCCTTGGCCGCGACGTTGGAGAATATTATGCGGCCGGGACCAATGCCAAGCTGCTGGGCTTGTGCCAAGAGGTTAGCTTCACCATGCCCTGGGAAACGCAGCAGCCACATTACGCCCTTGGGGACGCGCTTCAGGATCTGTAAAGAATAAGTGATATTGATGCCGTCAATAAGAGAACTTAATCTACAGCATTTTAATATTTCGAACAAGTTTTGAAGAAATGCGGCAATAATTCTGAGCTGTAGATAACCTTCAGCTTATAGTTAAACATCTTGCTAGAGAGCTGACTCTGCATACTATCAAGCTCTCAAGTTTGTAGATAGGAGTAACATCAATAATTAATCATGTTCTAAATCTGCTAAGCATTTCATTAATTAGAAGCTCACTATCACTGGAACAAGTTTCCTCAGAAGTTTTTCAAAATCGCGCTTGTTCACCATGGAAAGAGTAGCCAGGACAACTCACGTTGCACCACATCTGCAGTGTGGATGGATCAATTTTGTAGAGTTGGTTGAAGTTGCAGAAGACAATGGCGTCGTCAGGCAGTCCGTACTGTTGTCGTGTCGTCACCAGGATGTTCTGTGGCACCTCTTCACCAGTTGCTGCTTTGTTATTAATCTGCGTGGTTGCCAGGCCGTTCTGAACTACCATGCCGTTCACCGTCGCTTGTACTTGACCCGACGAAATCATGGTCTGGACATGTGCACCAAGAGATGAGCAATAAAATAGAAAAGATGGCATCTGATCAGAAATGCGCTTGCGTCTTAACCAGGTAAAATTAATTAGGAGTTTAGTCTGCTAAAATTTGCATTTCATATAGATTTCAAAGAACATTACACAAGATAATCTTATCGATTAACTGCAGTATATACCTGAATAGGTGCTGTGGAGCTGAGCTGGGCAACAGTCATAGAAACCTCGATGGGCTCCGAGGTCTTGGTGCCGTTCACGCCTGACGTTATGGGCTTGACGATTTCAGCCACGCGCATCAGATCTGCGCTTTCCATCACAGGGCTGAGGTCGGCTGTGTTCAACAGCGCCACCGTGTCTTTTAGTGGCTCATTGTCTATGTTCTTGATCGACTCCTGAAGCATGGCAAAAATTATTTACTTGAAGAAAATCAATAGTGAGCATTAGTTTTCTGCGAACTTAATTAACTCAGGACTGTAAAAAATCTCAACAAGTAAACCTATACATGCAAATCACACTATTTTACGCATCAATATCGAATGAATGTAAACATTAATGCAAATGACCAGCGCATATTGAAGACATGTATGCATACAAAAACATGTCTTGTATGAATACATAAATGTAGTATGGATTCTAGGAAAGCGGAATCAGCAGAGAGACTAACCACGCTCTTGATGAGCACCCTCTCCTTGAGATGAGGGAACATCTGCTGATGATCACCAACAAAGAACGTGTCCTTCATGTAGGCGAGCTTCTCAGTGTACTGCGCGGCGAGCTTGACGGGGGACGTGACGCCGTCCGTGATGAGGTAGTCCATGAACGACGCTCCACTCGTGCCGGGGTACCCAAGCCACATCGCCTGTAACGGCAACAACATCACTATAGCAAATATTACTCATTGTATTGTGTTGAATTATTCAAACCATGTGAGATCAAGACATTTTTAAAAATTTTATCAAGATTTTAAACTTGCTGAACAAAAATCCACTGCCAGTAATTTTAACAATATTTTTATTATTACTGCTTATAATAATTAGTAATTAATAAACAATTATTACTATTAAGAAGTACCGTATCCTTGCTTTTAAAACTATGAATAAAATTTCGCCCTTTTATTTTAGGGATAAGACGCGACATAATGTAACAATTAGCATTTCTATACCTAGAAAATTGTAAGCATACCTGAACGGGAGCAGGCCGCAGGGCAAAAATTTCGTTGCGCGCGCCTTTAGTGTAGCCGTTCATGTTGACCAGGATGTGGATGCCGTCCTGATTGATGCGATCTGCTGCCTTGCCATTGCAAGGAATCTGGGACAAATCCACGAAGTGCTCGGCCTCGCGAGCGATCTTACTTCTGTAATGGGTGAGAAATTTTATACGTTTAGTTTTATATGTTAGTTATTAGTTAGAATTTTCTACAAAGGAAGGAACACATCAACTAACATTTTGGTCTTGCATTAGAAAAGCTTTNCCCCCTGAGTGGTTCTCCAAGCAAGACTATAGATAGCCAGTGTATGAATATTGTCTTGGGAAGTAGCTGATGGCTAATCTACAGCAAGGATAGCTGAACTAAATCATCAATAGCTGGTCCTGATAGCTCACATTTGCCATTATTGTAAATGTATTCTGTTCTGTTAAAGTTACTGACATCTGTACATCGAATCTACGCGCTTTTACGGTGCGTCGATTCCAGTTAAATTTGAAGCATATATCGTGAACTCCGTGTGAGAGTACCTACTTTTATTCGCGGAGTATTGAAAAAATGTTGGGCTCAACAACTTCTCAAGATTGTTTTAGTGCAACCACGTATGATAAGGCCCGCGGGCAGACACCTCCAAGAGTGAATGTTGCGGATTTATCCCGCTTTAACATCACGTTAAATTTGAGCTGAGATCACTCTAGTAGTACCTGAAGGTGGTGCCATCGTCAGGACTGAGAGCGTAGCAGAAGATCTCGACACGACTCCTGTCATGCAGACCAGGGATGCTTTGCATGAGATGACTGGTGGGGTGGTTGCCGAAGTCTGAGGACACGTAGCCAATACGCAGCCTGCCGTCGCTGGCACGACGGCTGGGGAACTTGTATGGGGGCTTGTGCAGGACAGTGATCTGAAGCGACAGCAACGCTATTAAGTGGCAAATAATTAAACAGCAAAGCATGGCTACCTATCATTTTATTACAGAAAAGTGAAGTTAATATGATTTAAGTTCAAGTTGTTCAATTTACATATATTTAATGCAGGAACACAAGAATAGAACAAAGCAGTCAATTTCAGGCACCCTGAGCAAGTATTACATACGTATTGAAATGTAAACTCTAGTTCTCAAGAACATTACAGATTAAAATAGCTCTATGGCCAGAACAATAATAAACTAGAGAAAACAAATTGAGATAACTAGACCCCAACCTTCTCAATGCAGAGATTGGCATGACGTGCCGCAATGGCTTTTCTGTACTCGTGCGACAGCGGGTAAAGCATCGAGTGATGAGGGTGGACTGAGGGCAAACGGTTCCTCTCGAGCTGCTCCCCAACGATCGTCACGAGTTTCTTCATACGGGCGTCATAGTTCGTCCAGTCGCACACAATTTGCAGGCAGTGTGCCAGGTTGCAGTATGCGTCGGGGAAGTCGGGTTTCAACTTCAAAGCAGTCTTGTATGACTGTAAACAAGGATGGAAAGGTAATTACTAATACTAAACTAATCTAATTCATACTGGATGTAGTAAATCACAGAAAAAGTCGGAAAAGAATTTAGGAAAATAATCAAGAACAATTATACCTCTTTCGGAACAATTACTCTACCTCTTTCTTAATGTACACGAATTGAAAATAAATAGTCTGAATAACATAAAAAATGGAATACATACCTATATCTTATTCAAGAATTGAGTTGTAACAAGAAGATTTAGTGAAGGATTCCCAAAGAAGATAACGCGGCCTGACCTCTGTACCCCAGCCCCTTATGAAACTATTTCGGAGAAGAAGCAATCTGCAATTTAATGCTTAAGTTTTAGCATATAATACGAGTTGGCATCGGACTGATAAATTTACCTGTATGGCCTCAGGAATGTTTCCTGAGTCCTTATGGATCGAGGCGAGGTTGGAGTGAGCATCAGCAAATGCTGGGTTGATTTGGATGGCTCTCGTGTAGCACTGCAGAGCGCCCTGTATGTCCTGCATCTCCTTCAGCGTGTTGCCCATGTTGCTGCAACATGGATACATGGCGGCCGTTGTGAGACAGATACAAGTATGAAGCAAATCTAATGGAGTTAATTTCTATAAAAATACAAATATTGTTCTCCAATACCAGACTTATACAACGTTCATATTCAGATTGATAAATTAGAAACTTTAATAGTTACAGAAAACAAAATTCTTTCAATGAACATGCAGAATGCATTTGTAAACGAGAGCAGCGACAAATCTCAGCAAATCTTCAAAAGCTCGCAATCCAAGCCCGCCAATTATGCCAAAGAATAAACTTATATTTACGAGCTGGAATGCAACAGAAAATGTTAAGCCTAACTCAGAAAATTTAATTTGTCCGGTCCAAAAAATTTTCCATGTAAATCACCTGTAGGCATCAGCAAAGGTGGGCTGGATGCGGATAGCTTCCTTGTAGTGCATGAGCGCCTCGTTGAGTTTGCCCTGCTGCTGCAGGATGGACGCGAGGTTGCTGTGCGCAGCCGCGAACTCTGGGAACACTTCCAGGGCTTTGAGGTACAGACGCGTCGCCTCCTCAGTGTGGCCCTGAACACATATACATTTCTTAGAGAATAATGCTGTGGAATGAGCCCACCTTACACATCCCAGCAATGAATAAGCAGACTTACACATCCCTGATGGGAGCATAAAAAAATATAACACAAAAAATATAACACACAATCATCTATTTATGGCATAATGCCATGGAATGAGTAGGCAATACACGTATCAGATAATCGTACCGAAAGTTAGCTAGGTAATTCAAGCAACACGTCTCAAGAATTCAAGACAACGACAAACAGTCAGGCAAATATGCTACTGGGAACACATTACAATATCCTAGTAAAATAGTTAAGATGGACAATATTGAACGTGCTCACTACAGAAATATTGAACGAGCTACCGTCAAAATTGTAGTTTCTCTACGATTGAAACCGTTGTAAACATGTAGTAGTTGTATTATAACTATTACCTGCTCGCGCTTGATATTAGCGAGATTGTTGAGGGAGTCGGCATGAGTGGGGCAGAGCTGTAGCGCCGTGTTGTAGCACTCCTCCGCCTCGGAGACCTGGCCTTTCTCCTTGAGCGCATTGGCCAGGTTACAGTAAGCATCTGGGAAGTTCGGCTGCAGCTCGATGGCCCGACGGTAGGTGTCAATGGCCAGGTCGATGAGTCTGGTGTAACAAGTAACCATCAACATAATAACACCATGGACCCCATGGCTATAATTCTGAAGTTTATAACAAGTATGCCAACTCAACCTGAGCTTCCTATATGGGTCACGGAAATGAAGGTTGTAAATAAAACTAATGTCTGATTCACTTCAGAAATAAACAAGATTTCTAAAATTATTGAAAGTGCAAGAAAATATAAATCTTATAAAACTTCTACACAAATCCTTGGATAAACCAGCGTTTAAAGACACTTGCAAAAACTGCTTACAAATATGTAACGAGCTCTAACACTACTTCATCAAAGATAAATGATCATATACTATGAGATAATAATAGAAGCTATCATGACACGCACCCTTGCTCGTAGTAAACGCAGGCGAGGTTACCGTGCACCACGGCATGGTTGGGTGAGAGGTTCAGAGCACGAAGGTAGGCAGCGACCGCCCTGTAATATCAATTTAGCTCATTACCGCGCACAAGCAATATAACTCAGGACAACATAAACATACATAGAAAACATGGAATGTAAAACTATAAGATGGAGTAAAGGTAAAGGGAGAGAATGAAGAGTGTCTCGTGTTTTATATACAGAATGGATATTTATACGGCAATTAGCACGAGTTCAAACCAAAAATGTAAATTGTAGATGATGCTACGATGGCCACAATATTAGCCATGACATGAGCTTATGCCAATTTATGTGGAATATATATATTATTATCAACTTAATACGCGATACGAGGATGAAATTTCGACGTAAATTTCTCATTAAAAAAGAATTCGATAAACGTAATTTAGTTTTTCCGCACTGTATTTGACATATGAGAACATGTAACAACGTAGAACAGAGCATGATAGTTGAGAACTCAAAATGCAGCGTGTCAAACTGCACACGCGAATCGTACTTGGCAAGTATTATGAGTATGAACAGTTTTGAGGTCGAAACGAGAAAACCATCATTAAAAAGAGCTCATAATGTAGCCAACAGCGTCAATAGTTATTAAACCAAAATAATAATAATAATAATCGTGAAATTTTTTTCCCATTGAACAATAAAATTTTTAAACAAATCAATAACGAGATCGTGTAACTAGGTGAGCGCTGAGAAAAATATGCTGGAGCAAGCACAATGGAGGTGAGCTTGTAAACTCCGACGCTCAAGCCAAAACAGAAGTTGAACCCTACGATAATTTGGAACTGTAAGACACATATCAGAAATTGTAAGCTCAGGTTATTCTGTGAGCGCGACACTCAAGTCAGTCTGCCGCGCGGCAAGCCACAAAGGCTCGTGTGGAAGGATCATACATACGCCATCATAGAACTCAAGTTTCATTTATATACAAATTCAGTCTACCGGGCGATGAGACTGAATTGTTGATGAGACTGAAATCAATTGTTGTACAAAAGAAAAAAAACGAGAGGAGCACGAGTAAATTTCTCCCAAAATACAATAACCTCGTATCACAAAGCCTCTAGCTTTTACGATGCATTATAATGACCTCGTATCCCAAAGCTTCAAGCATTTACGGTGCATTATTTGTGAGCTTGCATACGTCATGAACTGCGTGCAGCAGTGGGCGCCTTAAAGAGACGACATTAAATAAATGGACTGTGTTTATCATTTACCGGCTCTTGCGGCCTCCAACAATGGTAAGACGAGCAGAATTTGAAAGCACTGGAACCCCTACTATAAAACTTCTGTAATAGACAACAGCGAATCTAAATTGAAAAGAAAGAAATCTGAGATGCCGCACTGAGCCAGGGGAAAATTCAGCGCTCGTAAAGAATTTGTACTTTTTTAGAAGTCTGGCGATGAGGGAGAGGCAGCCCGAGGGAGGAGACGAGGCCTGGGGGGTGTCGAGAGGCACTGACAAGAGGCGCTGCGATGAGGCGGCAGAGGCCACAACCTCGTCACTGATGCTTACTATCGTGTACACAACCACACACTGGTAGTCCATAGTGGTGACCAAGCACCACCACCATAACCGCGCACTGCTTCTGCTACCCCACTACCACTGCACCGCCACAGCACTACCATCACCTACACAATAGTCTTCTCTACACCAGCACGATAGTTACGTCCTCATAACTAATATTAACCGACCCTTATCAAGTTAGTTCCTTCACTGCGAAGTTCATAACGTCAATAGTGTGGTCATAGTGTTCATCAGCAGCAATAGGTCACACACTAGTAACTATCTAAAAAATTAATTACCGTACGTCATTCGTTAGGCAACACGTCCTGTGCCACACAAAACACTTCAAAGAATGCGCAGCTGCTTATAAAATATGGATATGTATTAGAGAAGAGCATCTGTGAAAAATGAGATTTCAATATTACACATCAGATTTTAGCAGATACAGTCATAAGATCATCAAGTTCCATTATTAACCTCAAACTGAAAAAAAGAGACCAGCAATTCACAAAAATTTTACAGGTCTAACAAGTTTTGTAAATAAACTCTGACCAATAATTAGACAAAGACATCTTGACAGGAGAAGCTCCAAATGAAAAGTAGGGCAGTTCGTCTTTCATCACACAGTGATTGCTTGCGACATAGGCAGCTTTGCTCAGATTTTTTCCAAGCCAAACTTTACCAGCAGACAAGGCCCACCACAAGATTAGTAAAAGCGTTTCATGTCACTTATGAGATCCATCATCAGGGAACGAGATAATAAAACAACCATTTCTGGCAAAAAAAAACATGCTCTGTTTGACGAGTCCAGTGGATCCAAGGCGAGGAAAACAGAGAGCAATTTGCCGCGCGGAAGACGATGCAGTGCAAGAGGTAATGAAAGGAACTGCAGGCCAACAAACAGTCCTTTGCAGCGCGCGGCTGTAGCCCGTAAAGAGCCCCAGGCGCCCCTCAGACCGACCGGTAATATACATGATGAGATGGTAACACGGGCGGCGGCATGCATAATGTGCGTTGCAAGCGCGAGTTCACACAGCACTAAAAATATTTGAAGAGTGCTAACAAAAAATACTTTGATAAATTCAGCTTCAGCGATTTTTTTAGAGCACAGTATTTCAACCAATTGTTCGACCACTATAGGCTATCTATAAAGCTACCACCATCGATATATCTAATGTACACTCATCAATGTAGCTCACAGAACTACATCGAATACTGTGTACAGAGCGTGGGCGAAAAAGAAGCAGTTCGATGGGAAGAGTTATTGGGGAACGAAAATTATGTTTAAAGAGATATGTTAATTCCTTATTAACACGTTAAGTGCGGCACGATCAACCGGTGGGTTGCAGGGCAAATTCCGCAATTTAGTTTTTTTTTAATTGCGTTTGTCGACAAAAATTTATGATAGCAATACTACATTTTTAAATTTTAAATGTACAGCAAAATTAAATTTTAATGTTTGTACCACAACCAACAAATTTACTAGTATATTTTGAATTATGTGCCTTTTTTACGCGGACTTTATGATAGCAGTACTAGATTTTTAAATTTTAAAATGTACAGAAAAAAGTAAATTTTAATGTTTGTACCGCAACCTACAAATTTAGTAGTATATTTTGAATTATGTGTCTTGTTTACGCGGACTTTATGATAGCAGTGGTGACAAATTTTTTACGCTGACTTGGCCGTTTTTGGCCAGCACTGGTGGGTCGAGCCGAACTTAACGTGGTAAACACATTTATGGTTGCATTATCAGCGCGTTCGGAATACTCATTTCAAGAGATACAAATAAATTTACAGTTTAAACAGCGTAACAGGGCCGGTACCAGCAGCATGAACAATTTCTCGTGCAGTCGCTTGTTTCAAAACAAAAGCTTGCCTCGACTAGACGCTTTCTAGAATTTTGCAGGCCCATAGTTTCGAAACAAGAGTCGACATTTTTGGTAATCAAGTCGAAACGAGAGACAGGCGAAGTCAATCGGAATAATTACTCATGCAAATCGGAGTTCATTTCGAACAGAAAAAAAACAGCGTGAAAAAAATCCTATCAAGAAACAACGGACAAATTTTACAAATTCCCCGGGCAATTTGTAGAGCGATAGGGGGTAAATAATAAGTGATTAGCGACAGCATATTTACTAACATTTTACACAAGAAGTGATTAGCTGCCAACATTTCCAAACAGTATTTGTTTGTCACTAAGAATGAAGCTAAAAAAGCGAAAATGATAAAAATGTTTTGGTGAAGAACATGACGAAGTGGAAAACGGTCACTGCTGGTTGTGGTATTTCTCGGTTTGAAAAAAAAAAAATTTGGTAGAGTAATTAATTTTCCGTTATTCTTGAACATTATTCTTAATTTAAAAATATAAGTTTATGAAATCTGATTATTGTTCAATTTTGAAGTAGCGTATATGAATTCTATTAAGTAAATATGATGGGAGAGTTGAATTTTTCATCACATGAATGCAATTATTCTTTTATCAATAATTTTCGAAGCCCTAATATAATAATGAAGGTAGTAGGCGAATGTGAGATGGAGCAGCACCTTCTGAAACTGGAAAGGCCCTTCAGTCAACTCATTTCGCAAGATAATTGCGATTTTTAAGCAGATTATGATGCAGGGCAACCTTGTTGTGGCTCAGGAATGATAACGGCACCCTCACATTAATGATGCTGGTATCATAAAAACACTGGTATACCATACCGATGGTGACGGCAGCACGCAAATAGTGGCACCATATCAGCGATAGCATTGCTCCACATTAAAATGTGCAGCAACACATCAGGTGTGATGCAGCAATAGCCGCAGTGTTCAACTCAACAAACCCTATACGAAACACAAAGTAAATAAACTAACATCGGAGACAATTTAATGAAAATTAAATCAACTCCTAATCTAAGCCATCATAATTGATCAAGTAAGTGATCATAAAATTTGACCAACCAACGATTAGTTTTGAACAGCTATTTGCGAAGGACCCTAATTCATAAAGGTAGAAATACCCCTCGCTAAATATGGAGCAGCAGCGTCAGTTGGCCATTCCAACAGGCAGAATTCTGCGGAATTAAAAGCTGTCAAGGATGCTCGCCTCATTTCAAAGACGACTATAATGACCAAAACGAAGACATTCCGCAATTCCGGCAGGATGGCGCGTCCTGCTAGCAATCTCGATGAACGTTTTTAAAACGAAGAGTTTTTCAGAAAAAAAAGCCGAGCGGCAACAATCACGCACGAGTGTCAAAAACATACAAACTTAGCAATAAATAACATGAAATGTATTGACGTATAAAGTTTTTGACGAATTCCCCAAGCAAGAGGAGCTACGAGCAAGCAGCACAGCAGAAATGGAACGGCACACTACACACCACACGCGTCCACGAACCCTACTGAGAGCTGGTCAGATCCATGGGCCATAGGAGCCGTCAGAGAGACTACAGAGAGCTGCGAGGCTTGCGTGCGCTAGGCTTACAATTCTGTTGTGCTCTTATACTTCCTGGGCGCAGCACTCTTCATTAACTCAGGATAT